ATATTTACACAACATTCATGAAGTTAAGGATACTATGTCCTTAATATTTGCACAGCACCATGTCTAGCACAGAGGTATTTTCGTCCGGGCGGATAAAAATTTATTAAGCAATGACTAAAGAGTAAATATATTTTAAATAGTGGTTAAAGAGTAAAGACATCTCTAATTAGTGGTTAACAGTGCACTTCCCTCCATTCACTTGCAGCTTTTAATGGACATGCTTCCTTTATGTGATATATAGCCAAAAAATTACATGTGCACATGACACAATTAGTGGCCTAAATCCAAAATTTGATAAGAGGCCTCAATTTTTTTAAAGTTAGTACTCACATATGTATACACACATGCCAAAAAAGTAATTGTTGCTAATTTTTTCGTCGTTGTTGTTTATAGTATAATATTTTTAAATAATATAAAGCCTTTAACTTCACATAATAATATTATTATATATATTAGTAAGAGGTATTTAAGTAAATAACATGTGGTCTCAAAGGAACTAGTGTATACTAAAAGATCCTTAAACTTCTTTCATAAAATTTATATAATAATGAGACACAAAAAAGCGTATATGGCTTTGATCTAGCGGTGAGAGCGCAAAGCATGATGTGTAGGTTAGGCGCACGTCATGGTATTGAATACATTCTTGTTTTTTAGGTAAAAATGGTAAAGGATGAGCCATTATTCATCGAGTTTTGAAACTTGCGATGCTTGCCTCATGGAGTTCTTAGTTAAAAAATATGAGACACAAAAAGAACTTGCTTTTTGATATATGAATCAATCAAATGTAACAAAAAGGAATATTTAATTTAGAGAATTTAAGTTGAAATTAAAAAGTAAAATCATGGAAAACATGAAAAAAGATTATACATAGAGGAAGAAAAAATAAAATTAACGAGAAGGTAAAAATATTGTTTAATTTAATGAGAGAAATTTTTCTTATCATATTAACTCAATCCGACCTCTATTAAATTCAAAAAAAAAAAAAAAGGAAGTTAAGATTTGATTTTTTTATAAATAAATATATAGATATATTATATATGTTATACTCCTATAATAATATAGTGGTGGTTCCTACTTTGGGGCTAAGGCCTGCCTTACCCTAGAGCCGCCCTTGAATGCTGGCCTCTAAAATTACGATCTTGTTGGCTAAGCCTCTGTCTATTAATCAAACAAAGCAAATCCATGCTGCAATACTTGTTAACGGTCTCTTGAATCTTGAGTCCTCACTAGTTCAGCAGATAATTAACTCTACAAGCAATTACTCTTGGAATACCTCGCGTTATATTAAGCTAATCCTCAACCATGTGCAAACTTTAGATGTCTTCTCAGTTGCTTCCACCATCCGCTTCTTTTCTCGGCATTGTCAGTTCAGGGAGGCCATTGATTTATATGGAAAGTTGCAGAGATGCGGGGTTAGTCCCAACACTTTTGCTGTATCATCTGCTTTAAAGGCTTGTGCTAGGATTTTGTACAGGTCTGGTGGGACATCTATTCATGCACAAGTTTACAAGTATGGCTTCTGTAATGCTGTCTATGTGCAGACAGCTCTAGTAGATTTTTATTCAAAAGTGGGTAATATGGACTTTGCCCATAACATCTTTAGTGAGATGGTCGGGAAAAATATAGTATCATGGAATTCAATACTAGGTGGATATGTAAGATCTGGTGACTTAGCAAAGGCACATAGGGTTTTTGATGAAATGCCAGAGAAAGATGTCATTTCTTGGAACATAATCATTTCTGGGTATGCTAGGGTGCGGAATATGGAGCAAGCATATGCATTGTTTAGACAGATGCCAGAGAGAAGTTCTGCCTCATGGAATGCGATGATCAGCGGATATGTAGATTGTAGGAACGTAGAATTAGCTCGCAGTTTTTTTGAGGCAATGGACCAAAAGAATAATGTTTCATATATCATATTGATTTCTGGATACTCAAAGTGTGGAGATGTTGAATCTGCTGAGGAACTCTTTGGACGATTAAATAAGAAAGATCAACTTGTATATAATGCCATGATAGCTTGTTATGCTCAAAACAGCCAGGCAAAAGAGGCTCTGCAGCTATTCAATGAAATGCTTCAGTTAGATTTACAACCTGATAAAATGACCTTGGCAAGTGCACTTTCTGCTTGTTCTCAGCTGGGAGATTTGAAGTTTGGTTCTTGGATTGAGTCTTTCATGAATGAAGCTGGAATTCAAATGGACGACTACTTGGTTACCAGTTTGATCGACCTGTATGCAAAATGCGGAAGTGTCGATAAAGCTTACAAGCTTTTTCATGGCTTGAAAAAGAAGGATTTGGTAGCATATACTGCAATGATACTGGGATGTGGAATAAATGGTAGGGCTGATGATGCTATCAAATTGTTTGATGAGATGATGAATGCTGAAATCAACCCAAATGTAGTCACAGTCACAGGGATATTGACTGCCTACAGTCACATTGGTATGGTAGAAGAAGCATACCGTTGCTTTATCTCCTTGCAAAAGTATGGACTTTCTCCCACAGTTGATCATTACGCTATAGTAGTTGACCTTTTAAGTAGGGCTGGGCGGTTAGACGAAGCACATGGCTTGATCAACAGCATGCCAACGCGGCCTCATGCTGGTGTCTGGGGAGCATTGCTTCTCGGTTGCAGTTTGCATAACAACTTAGAGCTTGGGGAGACTGCAGCCAGGCATTGTATGGAGTTGGAACCTGAGAGTTCGGGCTATCTTTCTCTTCTAGCAAATATCTATGCTTCTTCGGGAAGGTGGGATGATGCTGAAAGGTTGAGAAAAGGGGTTGAAGAAAAGGGATATGGCAAGCTGCCTGGTTGCAGTTGGATGGAAGTAAAAACTTAGAAGGTCTTCTTTGCAAGGACATGATTCCAACTGTAGTACTTTGCTCATACTGTTAACAGTTTTCATCTTTTGCAGTATCAATTCAAGATGAGTGCTTTTGTGCAGCCTCTTCATTTTGGCCCTTCTGGACTGCCTATCATATCCCGCTTCATAATATTGGCTGTTATTGGCTGGTTAAGATGTCTCTATTTCCACCATGAAATAACTCGATGGAGATGACTGTTAATTGGAGGTATGTTTCTTATTGTATAGATATTGAATTTGCATTTTTGATGTCCAAATTAGAATAGCTCAAATTTGCTGAGAGTTCAAATAACATGAGTGTCTAGTGATACTTTTGAACCTCATAGATCCGCTTCCCTGAATTTGATAGAACTCAATGGTTTAACCTGCACTTATGGTTGATTAGGTGGCAAAAATTCATGATCTTATCGGGAAGTTTGTCTTACGTAGTAGTTAGGATAGTTTTCAGTGCTCTGCCATTCCCTCATACCCCTGAAAAGAGCAAGAGATGGGAGTCTTTGATTTCAAGATTTGGAGACACCTAATTCTATTTAAATGGTGAATCATCATTGAAAGAGAGGCCATCACTGAAATCTTAAAGGTAAAAGTGTCTCTGTAGGTGCCATGTTTGCTACATACTATGAAAGAAGTGCCACATGGGCAAAGTTCTTTGTTGGGCCCAATATGGGTAAGAATTGCAGGCTAGCAATGCATTCAGTTCTTGGAAAGAAAGTGTCTTAAAACTTAAAACTCGATGTTTGACGTGATAATACATGATATTAGCCATTACATATGCTTCACAAAGCTATAAACCATGTCTCCCGATAAGAATTTTTAGTTGCCATAATCAGCTATAATACCCAAACCTTTTTTAACAGTATTACAATACCCAAACTCAACTCACTGTACTATATTCTGTCATAGATTGCGAGGTTCTGGACATGAGTGATTGTATTAATTGTGCTAAGATGAGTTCAATCTTCTATGGCATTAGCAGGGAAACGTAAACAGTATCTCAAGAGATTCAGAAACATAAAGTTTTGGCTTTTGATGGAAAACAGAGTTAGGCGGGCTGGTTCCTGATGAATAAACAACACCAAAATTTTGGAATCTAAAGGCAAATTGTGGCTGTGGGAAAAACCTTTACGAAGCAGGAACTCCCGAACTTATGACCTCTTTAAACTATGCAGAGACCAATTCCTCAACCCAAAAAAAGTGCAGAGACCATGATTCAATGTTGATCTGATAGCCAAATGCAGGCGCATTATTGCTCTAGCTTGTAAAAGATTCTATGCTGCAGCTTGCATCAGTATGTAAGACAGAGTGTGCAAAGAAGTATGGAACCACAACTACAGTATCTATCTAGCTCCAAAGTTATTTTGTCAGCGTCGTAGATATTGGCACAAGTTACAACAAAGAGAGGGATGTGGAACCTCTGTGGATTAAGTGACTAAAGTTGAAACTTGATATTGCACAGATGGCTATGCCATGAGATGGATCTTGAACTTGAAGTGCCTGTACTTCAACAACATATTAAAAGTCATAGATGAGCTATAAAACATTCTCCTGATCCTACCAAGTCTCGTATTAGTGGAAGAAGACCTTGGCCATTTCATGTGCCCTGCCTATGTTAGCGCAATGGTGACATTGGAAATTGGTCTGCATGCATCTCAATAAGTCTTCTGTCCTATTACAGGGCAGAGCAGTACAAATTCCATCATACTTTATCTCCTGGGAGATTACGAGAGATCTGTCTCATATCATTCGATAGAAATCGCATATGCTGCACATTCATCTTGGAAGATATTTCTGTTTCTTTTAAATTTTTGAAAAAACTTTTTGGAAGAGTGAACTTCAAAGAGATAGACCAAGGTTATACTACCTCTGCTTGCAACTAATAATCTGTGAAAACTTATCTTTTAAATCTGGTTCTCGGGGATTGTCCTTGTTGCATATTTACCATCAAAATTGTGTAAATTGGATAGGTGAATACAGTTTTCATTATATTCTTTTGAAATAGATCTTACCAAACTATCATTTTAATGAATTTCTGCAAAAGGTTGAGGGAGAGGACACGGGTCTGGGTATAGGGCAAGCGTTATAGCATATCTATACGCGCACAAAGACAATTTCTTTGCAGTTTTGGAATCAACAAAACAAAAAGCATGGTAAAGCTCATTTACACAACAAGGCAAGTTCTCTATGTTTCAAAAAAAGAAAAATATTACTAACAGGTAATTAACATCCACTTTACTTGTTACAGTAGTGCTTTGCCACACTTTTTTATTTCAAATATCAACTCACTAAAATGAAAAAATGTTCTTTTCATTCTTGTTTTGTTGGCTCGTCCATTCGAACAACACAACTCCTATCGTGTATTTTTCTTGATACCAATGTAGACGAGATAGTATTAACTTGTACCTCAGCAGCAAGAAGCACTTGTATTGCATGTATTTGTGTTCGCAAGTTAGAGCAAGAGCATTAAACGATGATAGACAACACTGTCCATGAATGCAGTCTGCTGACAAATGCCACCTGCAACATCTGTATCATTCAGAAAAAAGCTTGTATAAATCAAAATGCAGATTATACCAAAAGACATTAGGAAAAGAAAATGATCATGGTTGTAGCGTATGTTCAGCCATTTACATTCCCACTATTCTATAATATCATGATTTAGTTAATACTTTGTCTATGCGATAAAGAAATGCCATCTCGGTCATCCCAAGGAAAGAAGAAAAGGACAAGATCCAACGCAATAGTTCTCTGTCGAACCAGTTAATCCCCAGAGGCAACTAAGGTAGAAAACAGCGGAGATTATCAAAATGTCAGTGAAGGGATTTCTGGATACCGCTAGAACTTCTAGAGTCCAAGTAACATAACGGATCAACAGGTAAATCACACAACATGGATAGTCTATACGAGAATGTACCTGATCAGTTGATGCAGTGTGAAGTTCTTTTTCTTCATTTCCACACAATATCCCCTAAAAACTGAAGAGCTGGAACACCTCTTATCTCAACATCAACAAGGGGTGCCTGGACCAACATCAGGCTAGAGAGCTCTTGGTCATTCTGGATCATATCCAGAGCACGACTTTGGTCCTGTAATACTTCAACCATCAGTTTTTTCCTAGCAAGAAATATGTCGAAGAGTCCAGGAAGGTGTCAATTCAGATGCATATTAAAGAAAAATAAAGTGATCTTGTGCATGGAGAAAATTCTCAGTAAGCATATAATATTAGGCTGAAACTGGAAGTTGCTAATTAGTAATCTTCAGCTGTGCCGGAAAACTTGAATATAATTTTCAAACGAGAAAATTAACCGCACAAACTAAAAGAAAAAAGAAAGCAAAAAGAAAGAGACTTGGAATTTGCAAATTATGAATTGAAAAGAAAACAGGGAAAAATGCCTGAAGAGGAGCGAAGTCAATGCTTTATCCATGTTGGGCATGATATATGGAGACGGTTTCAAAACTATATGCAGAATAGGTATCTGGGCAACATATCAATGTATATTATTTTATGAGTAATCTACTGTGATGCATGATACTTCATATGATACAATAGATAGCTTGAGTTCATAATTGCTTGTACATGGTGTTGCAAGTCAACCTAGAAGTTTGGGCCCAAGCTCATCTACAGTAACATGAAAAGGCAAACAGTAAAATTTGAGATGGAATAAGATGGTCAAACCTTTCTTTTCATTGCGCAGAACTTGCAATCTGAGGCCGATGGCGGAAGAATCTGGTTAACAATAAGCCTCCTTACAGGAACATCTTCCTTCTTTAAGGAAGCACACAACCTTGACGATTCACTAATTGCCATAACCTAAAGGGCATACAGTGATGCCCATGGGAGAAACAGTGAGAATCATGAGTCAACAAGCAGATCGCTTCTTTTCATGTGGCGACAAAACCAAGGTATTTTGCACTTTAAAGAGTTTACACCAAGTGTATTTCTATAACATTTTCTATTTTCAAACTTTTCATATTCCAAAAAGTTAGGTACAGGCAATTGTTCAAAACTTTAAAAGAGTTGTTGTAGTTGGCAGATAATTCAGGAGAACAGGTTTTAGTTTTCTGTGCAGTAATTTAGAGTTTAGTTTTTCTGGGCAGTACAGAAAACTGCCTGCTTTGCCTTGAAATCCTTTTGGATTCAGAAACATGTTTGAACTCTACAACATGCCATTAGAAAATATTACTCGCTACGAAATTTAATTGAGACTGATTCAAGAATTACACTGCGGCTCTTTTTGATTTTTTATTTTAAGCTCAACTGCAACAACAACAACAAACCTAGTGAAGCCCCACAAGTGGGGTCTGGGGAAGGTAGTGTGTACGCAAACAACCTTATCCCTGCTAGAGAGGATGTTCTCAATAGATCCTCGGCTCTAGAAAGATAGGAAGAAACAGTTTGATCCTCACTATGAGACCAAATTTAATAGTTGCGCGATGCAAACTTTGGAGACCAGGGGTCAAATCCCAGCGGAAATAAAAAACACTAGGTAATTTCTCCCCATTTGTCTAAGCCTTGGTGAACAAAGTTACCGTTCCTGTGTTGATGAGAAGTAACAGGTACTCGGTGGAATGGAATAGTCGAGGTGCACTCAAGCTGGCCCGGACACCGCCGTTATAAACAAAAGTAGTGTGACGCTTGAGATCACTTCTATTGTTTTTCGGAGAGTCCCAAAGAAAAGGTCAGGAAACCTAGAGAAGCCACTTCAGCCGACCTGTCCAATTCCAGAGGAAGTCCTCATGCTTGTGCTACATGAGTTCACTTGTAATTGGATTACCTTTTGGTACAAATATTAACAATTTGGCTCAAAGAAAGAATATATATAAAGCAAATTACTCGCTTATACAGTAAGATTTAGCTAGAAGGATATTCAGAAAAGAAAATGATACACTGGCTTATACTAACTTACATGAGAGCTATATATAACACTCTAGAAATCTACCGGACAGATTCCAATCAGGCAGATTCCTAGGAAAACACGCACAACACCAGACAAGCCAAATAATACTACATCATTACCGTGGGGATTGTCACTATGACAAATTCCGTTGAGGTTGTGTCACGAAAAAGCTCTCTTACTTTTATCATCCTCTCCCTTAACCGCTCTAATTTTTCTGCCTGCACAGGGAAGAAAAATGTGACATCGACAAGAGTTATACGTAAACTCCCAACACTATATATTCCTAACTATGTAAAGCTTACAGCATCTGGCTTTGGCGTTCCTTCCTGGCCAAAGACAGACTTTATTGCTGAAGTGGCTGAAGCTATCTTCTGTCTCAACTGAAAAGAGAGATTAAGAGTAAAACCAGATCAGCAGTACTTTAAATATGATGTTAACAGGACAACTGAAGAGAAAAGGAAAATTAGCGCCTTCATTTTTTTTTTGAGAAGGGAATTAGCGCCTTCATTCAATTGCAGAAAGACATAAGCAGTCCGAATGAGAAGCATAAATAAAAGAGTTGCCTCTAATTAGGAAGAGAAACTTTAAGCAGCAAACAATATGAAAAGCATCACCAAGGAACCAAGTCATTTGGTCACTCGGAAAACATAGGAAGAGAAGCTATAAGCACAATAGCAAAGGTCTTTCTGCTTCCAAGGTCTTTAATTACTTGAGCTGCTAGCATGAGATTAAGGAGTTGTGCTTCCAACATCATTAATGCAATGTTACCAAATTCTTAAGGACACACAGTATGCCATCTTGGTTTTGCTTCTGTACCTTGGTGGTGAGAGCCGAGAGGGGGGAAGGAGTTCTTTTAAGAATGGTCAAAAATATACCACCCCAGTTTTTAAATACATCTATTCTGATAGAAGACCACATTGGTCAATAATTACATGATAAAGAAAGATATTTCCAATTTATTGTTGTATTGCTCAAATACCTGCATCAACTTGGTGTATCTTAATGATATCATCTTATGTCTAAGAGAGAAAATTCTCTCTCCATATCATCTTTCTCATTCATGAAATTTGTTTTCCAATCAAAAGCAGATATGGAATTGAAGAGATTTTGTACCTTCAATATCTTTCCAATTGATTTATCCAAGAAATCTGGCAAGGACAAGAGTCGCAGAGTATGTCCCTGAAAGGAACCAATAACTATTATGAACGTCTTCACAAAATATTAGTTACAAGATATATCATATCTTTCTCACCGTCGGGGCTGTGTCAAACACTATACGAGTAAACATATTGTATTCCTGTGATTCAAGGAATTGGATAACCTGGCAAGAAGATCTGTAATCAGCGAGGTTGCAGGAAAGTATTAACACTTTCCACAGGAAATATGAACAAACACTGAAAGTATAGAATGTTGTGGCACCTTTGAAATTGCAATTGCTTCATCTAGACCAGGAGGGGGTGTATCCAGCAGTTCTCCAAGCTTTAATTCCCCAAGCTTCCTCATATTTGATCAAGAATAGGAATAAATTAGTAGTGAAACAAGTGAAATTAACTCCATCTTTAGTAAATACAGTCGAAGGTCAAAACTAAAACATGCAAGTAAGGAAGCAGAGGAAATCAAACAGAAAAAAAAAAGGCAAGTTAAGCTTTATGTGGCTAGCTAAAAGACTTATTTTCCAACATCCTTCGCTCTTATTAAAGAAGAGAACTCACAAATATTTGTTTTAATTTAGGATTTTTTTTTTTTACCTGTTCAGCAAACACCCCGAGTCCCATGCCATCCATAAAGTCTTTGATACCAG